CCCGACACCCCAGAGAAAGAGAGAGAGAGACAGACAGAGAGACAGAGAGAGAGAGAGAGCACATGAGAAGGAATGAAGGAACAAATGGTGGGTGGGTGGATGGATGGATGGACGGATGAACAGAGGTCACCGCTATTCCAGCTCTAGATGCTCCATTTCTATCTCTGCACTTTATATATTTGCTTGTAAAAGAGAAGTGGGTTGAAGTCCCTCAGTGCTTTGACGAGGGGCTGTGAGCTCACCTCTGCCTGGGTCACCCTGCAGCCCCGGGTCTCCGGTCAGCGCTGGGGACCAGCAGGCGCACGTGCACACCACGAACCCCCCGCAGAGAGCCCCTGGCCCAGCCGCCCCGCAGCGCCCCGCACCCCCCGCCTGGCCCGGCCCCACGTCCCCGCTTGCTCTGCGAGGCTGTCCCGGGAGGGAGCCAGGGCAAAGCGGGCCCGGCACGTGGCGTCCGCCCTGCCTGCAGCCATGCCCACTGGTGCGGGCACAGGACTGGCTCCAGAGCCCTCGTGAGGGAGGGAACACCGTGGAGGGGACAGCAAGCAGGGAGGGTCCCTGGCAGGGAGAGGGCACCCAGGCTGGCAGCAGGGATGCCCTTGCCGCACGCTGCCTGCACTGAGCCAGCCGCATGCTGCCTGCACCGAGCCAGCCAGGAACCCGGCACCACAGAGCACCCAGCTGCGCCACATCCGCGCCCCTCGCGCAGCACCGGGGGCCCTGCGTGTCCTGGCACCCCCAGTTCCAGCTCCCCAGGCGCCTTCCTTTCACACTCGCGGTCCCACCGCAAAGCCACAGGCAAAAAGGGCAGGAGGGGAGGACGCGCGTGCAGGATGCCGGTGCGGCACCGCTCACCCCCCTGCCTACTCCCACCACCCAGGTCCCGGCTGGTGAAAGCACCATGGGGCACCCGGTCCTGCTCTGCTGGGGACACCCCTTGGGCAAGAGCTGCGCCGGGCACCACCACACATCTCATGGGCCAAGAAAGCCACAGCCCAGCTCTCAGGTACCCCCAAAACACAGCCCTCCGGAGAAGAATGAGAAGTTCAACCCCATGGGCACAAGGGGAGATCACTACCAGCAATATGAAAACGGTTCGCTTGTTACAAAACAGAGACACTGGCCTGGCCAAAGGCCCCCGGGTCCCCAGCAGGTAATTTCCACCATGCTCCCCCAGGGCAGCAGGGGAGGCAGCGACCCAGAGCCCAACAGCTGAGGAACATCCCCCCGCGAACAGCCTGATCCCCTCCATAAGAGCAGCAGTGGAACAAACCTCGCTGGCCTTTTCTGGGGTTCCCTTTGGTGTTTCATCCTCGTGCTTGGGTGAGGAAGAGGCTGGTGAGGAAGGCAGCCTCCTGTCCCGGTCCCTGTGAACCAGCTTGCTGTTGGGCTCCTTCAGGGTCCGTTTCAGCTCATTGATGCTGGCCTGATGCTTCAGCAAAACATCTTCTGGCTTGTCTAAAAACTTGGGGAAGGAGAGAGGAAGATAACTATGATTAAAGTGCCAGCCAAGGCAACAGAGAAGAGCAGGGGCACTGGGAAGGTTTGCTTCACACTGGGCTTGAATTTAGGGTCTCAAGAGCCAAATGAAGAGCGAGTCAGAGCACCCCGGTCTGCAGTCCTCACTAAGACCATTGCAGGGAGCAGCAAAAAAGCAGCACGTGGCAGAACGCGCGCGGCAGGCTTCCCTCTGCAAAGGGCACAGCATGCCCCTGCGGCATTTCCAGCACGGCCTGCGGAGGACAAGCTAAGCCACCTGGAGGAAGAGAGCGGGGTCTCCCTGGGATCAGCAAGGGATCAGGCCCTGTTGGAAATACCAGCAGCCTCCTCTGCTGCTCTCCCATGCCAGGCACAAAGGGAGCCCGAGCCTCTGTCCCAGCAGGGCAGGAAACCGGCATTTCCAACGGAGCTCCTTCGAAGTGGGCTTTGCCAAAGGGCAGGTGCTCAGGGGCTGCTCAGAGACGTCCAGCGTGGATCCAAGCCGGGATCGCCGTGGACCAGCCTGGGCCCGACGGCAGCCTGGGGTGGGGTCTGGCCCGCTGTGGAGAGGATAGCTCAGAGCGCTCAAGTGCAAGGTGGGGTTTAGGTGTTAGAGCATCGTTTTGTGACGGTACAGGCACCAGGGTGGCTCCCCTCGTCCTGCCGCAGAGGTGGGCAAACTGGCTCGGAGCAAGAACCAGCAAGGGCAAGGACCCTGGCTTCTGCTTCAAACTTAAACTCAAACCTCTTTTGAGGTTCGAAAGGAGTCACCTAAAACACCTCCCCGGTATTGCTCCTCAGCAACAGCCCAGAGACCCCGGAGAGTCCCATGAAAAACCCTACCAAATTTTCCAGATCCTGAAGGCTCAGCGCAACTCATGAACAAACTCCCCCCGGGGACCCGCGTGGCCGAGCCGTGGCGAAGCGCTTCGTGGTTTGCCCACCTCTGGGCTCGGGGTGCGCTGGGTGAGCAGCACATGCACATGCAGCGGGGTAAGCAATGACGTGGGCAGGGGAGGGACCGGGACCGGTGCCCACCGCCCCAGCGGGGTCTGCCCTGCGGTGCCGAGCGGGACAGCGAGGACTGGGTGGTGCCAGCGCGGCAAACCCCATCGCCTGGCCGTGTTTGCCCCCATCGACAGCTCCAGTGAGGACCTACATCCCACTGCGAGCAGAGAGGGGACCCCCAGGGAGCAGCCGTGGATTTTAGGCTGGGATGAATCATTCCTGATGAGGGGCTACCGCGGACACAGGAGGTTGTGCAGAGGAGGGCACAGCCTCCCTCTTCTCTGTGACAGCCCACTCTCAGGCCGGGCAGATGCAGGCAGCTGCCCTCTGGCACAGGGATGGGTGCCAGCGCCTGCCCCCCCAGGCAGCTGCGCGGGCGCTGAAGGCAGCTCAGAGACTTGTTTGCCCCCGGCGGGGCGGGGCGGCAGCCGCAGCGCTGCGAGGAGCTCCAGCCCGGCTCTGCATGGAGGGGAGCCACGCTGCGGGAGCGGGGGGCTGCGGGAGAGCAGAGCCGCCGGGCAGGGCGGTGACGGAGGCAGTTTGGGTCAGGCAAAAGCAGAGCACGGGTCGGGGCGCCAGCGGGAGCGATGGGACCAGCCTCCACAGGGGAGCTGGGGCTGCAGGGCTGGACGGAGAGGAGACACGAGGCGAGGACATGGCGGAGTCAGTAACACGAGCAGAAGCCAGGTCTTCCCAACGGGCCAAGGACTCGGCGTGGGGGCCTGGCCGTTGCGCCTCGGGAGGGCTCTTGCTCACACGCACGATTAGGACTACCTTACTTAGTGGGATAGAAGATGCCATGTGCGTGCTGGGGCAGATCCCCAGCTGTCTGCTCATCGGGCTTCTCTAGCATCCAACCCCCCGCCTCGGTGCATCTTGTATTCCAGTAAATAGGGTGACACACAGTGTTGCTTTGGAAAGGATGGACAATATGATGCACCGATGAGGACTAAGATACTCCAGAGAGAGAATACCTCCTGCTTGTGCCTGGGGGTTGTTTCGTGCTCCGGCTGGCAGCAGAGAGAGGGTTAAAAGTAACCAGCAGAGTCAGTCGAGGGAACTTGTCACAAACATCACAGTTAAGTTGATGGGCTGGTAGTGTGCAGAAGGACCGGACCCCCCTCCCCTCGCAGCGTGGGGCTGAAATGGGCTGGGGTGTCCCTGGGCCAGCCCGGCGGCCGGGGCAGGGAGTGGGTGGGCTGTGCCTGGGCAGTGGCGGGCACCGGTGCGCCTGGCCTGTCCCCATCCCCATCCCTGTCCCTGTCCCAGGGCAGGGCTGCTCCCAGGTCCAGCCCTGCCTGGGGATGAGCCCTGAGAGCACCTGGAGGGCGCTGGGGAATCAGAGTTGAGCCGAGCCCCTGTGACAGCCCCATTTCCACCGGTGAGGCCAAATCTGTGTCCCAAGGGTCCCACCAGCCTGGGGCACAGCCGGCAGAGACAGGGCTGGAGGGGACTGTGCCCCGAGGTGACCCTTCCTGCCTGCAGCCCAGCCCTGCTGCCTGTGCCCGGTCCCCTGCCTGCCCTCTCCAGGCGTGAGCCAGCCTACCCACCCACCTCCACCCTCCTCTGCCCGCCTCGTCTGTACCTTCAGCTCCTTGATTTTCGTTGGCGTGGTCACCTCCTCGTCCTCTGTCTCGGACCGTCTCCTGCTGCCAAACTCACCATCCTCATCCTGCTTCTCGCCCTCTGCCCCGGCGTCGTGGTTCTCGCTGACGGAGGCTGGGCGCGAGAACTCTGCTCGTGGGGGAGAGCCCGGGTCACCCCAGCCCTGCCCCC